GAGTGGGTGGCATATGCTCATAAGAGGAAAGACCTGATGTTGGGATAGTGGGAGCTATGTGATGGACAGCAAGACAATAAACAAAACTGAAATGAAAGGGTAGCACAAGGGAGTCTTAGGAGTTATAAATCATAATTTTCAATCAATAGAAATTTCTCTTGGGAACATATGTGATTGCTCTACAAAGTAATCATAATGTTGCTTCATCTTCTCTTTTGAAATACCTTGAAGGATGGAGCCTAAATAAACTGTGTGATTCTGTCTTTACAAAGTAGACCTCAACACTTTAAAATTGGTTCAATCTACTTTATTCTATAGTTCTTAGAAAATCTCTGTTCCTATAACAAGTAAGCCAATAGAAATGCAAATATGGATGCAGTTATTCCTGCAAATATATTAGAAAATGTCATTGTTTTGATATTGTGGTAAGACAATATATTTAAGATAGACAAAGGACCAAAAAAGATTTATAACAGTAAACTTTTAAGTATTTACATGAGAATTCAGTCTTTGTGTAGAAATAAATAAGCAATTTCCATAATCAATCCTTATTTAAAATTAATAGGTATTTGCATATTTGTATAAGAGCAAAAGTATCACAGATATACCTGTTGATAAAAGGTAAAGTAGTATTTTTTAAAACGGTTTGTTCAATTAATGAATACATGATTGATTGGCTGGCATTAGGATCTGAGTTGAAATTTATAGTTTACTACTATTCTACCAATAACCTAAAAAATGTATTTTTGAACATTTAAAGATTCTATTCTTTATCCCTTAAAGCAAATTATTTACAGATTGATCTACACCAAGTTCTAGAAATTGCATAAACAGTACAACTCATATTTAAACTTATATTTCTACTTCAGCTTTAATCTTAAAACCTTTAATATCTCATAGAGTCTTAACTACATTTTAAATACTTTATAAGACTCAAGTTGCTAGAGAGACTCTGCTATTCTTCCTATTTTCTTCCTTACCTCCTTCCTACCTTCACTCTTTCTTCCTTCCTTAGTTGCCCAAGCTCAGATCACTCATGTGCTCTTTAATAATTTCCTGCTGTAAGTAGCACTTTGGAGAAGAACTGAGGATCCATGATCCATGTGTGGAATGTGCCTTGCATAGGTTGGAATCTATAATCAAGACTCAGATCTTTGTTCTGATTAGGCCTCAGCCATCAGCACCAGCCGGCTGGCAACCTGCTACGCGTGTTGTTCAGTTTGAGGCTTAAGCAGCCAGAAGTGTGTTTCCTTCCTACACTTTCTCCTTTGCTTTGGCTCCCATCTCTCCCTCTCTTCTTTCCTACCTTCCTCTCCTCAATTTCTTCCTCTGTCTCTTCAATTCTGGTCCTTCCAAGGCTTCCCCATTTCTTCCTTGTTTCTATCCTTTACTGAAATCATTTTAGTTTGGGCACTAGTGAGGGAGACTGAGTAAAGGCTGGCATCAAGAAGACCAAGCAATGGTACTTATGAAACTGAAATGTTCCGAGTCTCTGAGATTGCTCTGCAGTGTTCTGCTAATTATTCCTTCTGTAAAAGCCTGGGTTTACATGTATATGTGTGTGTGTGTGTGTGTATATATATATATATATATATATATATATATATACATATATATAATCACACACATATGTATATATAAATGTATACATACATAAACATATATTACACACATATGTATATATAAAGATATATAACCACACACATATTGGTATTGGGGGTTGAACCCAGAGCCTCATGTATGCTACACTGAGCTACATTCCTAATCCTTTTTTAAAAATGATTTTTTTTCAGGAATGGCCTTTCTAAATTGCTGAGACTTGCCTCAAACTTGTAATCCTTCTGCCTCAGGATCCCCAGTAACCAGGATTACAGACATGCACCACTGCGCCTGGCTCTAGGTTCATACCTTTATTTAAATTTCAGATATTGAAATATTCTTTAAATTAAGCAATTTGTGAGAGAACTTGTTGCAAAACATGCTGGAGCCTGAAGACTGTTCTTCTATTCTGTGACATGATTGCGCCATTCTTTAGTTCCAGCGCTTATAGCCTCTCCCTCCCTCCCTCCCTTCCTTTCTTCCTTTTTTTCCATAGAATCTAGTCTAACAGACCTGCCCTCAAGAAAAAATGTAGACAGCAGAGTCTAAGCATCCATGTGGAGGAATTCACATGTTATGATTCAATTGTCCAGTGTCTTGTGCATTAAAGGTTACCATTAAAGCGTTATGCTGAATAGGTGCACTGAAAACACCATAGAAATATACAAAGTAGGTTCTTATTAAAATAAACAAAAGCATACCTGCAATCCATTTTGTTGGTTTTAAGAAGAATCACGTTTGAATGATGAAGGGAATGCGTGTTTTGTGATGTGCATAAAGCTTGCCATTTTCAAGGCCGGCTTGATTGATGATTTTATTTGCAAGTGCTGGTTTCCAGAGTCAGAAAATATCACTGTGTTATTACGGGCATTACGTCATCTAAGATTTCACCTTATCAGTTTCATAAATAAATGAATCTGCCTGCATAAACCAAATGAAAGCTTCATAAATTTGTGATTACTGGCAAAAATAAGCTTGTCATTTTGAATTTGGATACTATAATAAAGTTAGGGGGCAATCAATATCATTATTTATGTAATGCAACTTGACTTTGCAATTAAACTTTGACAAAGTTTTCTACAGGCACTATCATTTTTGAAGTTACTATCATTTTGATTCTTCTGTGGTGAGACATATTGGTTTTATCACTATTATCAGGATGTATTTCTATTTTGTACCCATCAAGACCAAACTCCAAGTACATTTACACAGTTGATGATTGAGAACACTAATCAATGATAATCTCTTGTTTTTCAGAGGCTGAAGTAGGTAGATGGAGGTTTCCATGTGTTTCTTAGAATAAGTAAGCTCTATCAGGATATGGCTTTAGAAACGGGATGCTAAAAACGGAGTGTTTAGTTCTTAGAATCAGCTTGAAGGACACAAGCCTAAGAATTTGTTATCTCCATTTTTAAAAAATTCATTTATTTTTTATTTATATATAACAGCGTAATGCTTACAATTCTTATTATACATATAGAGCACAATTTTTCATATCTCTGGTTGTATACACAGTATATTCACACCAATTCGTGTCTTCATAGCTGTACTTTGGATAATAATGATCATCACATTCCACCATCATTAATAACCTCATGCCCCCTCTCTTCCCCTCCAACCCCTCTGCCCCATCTAGAGTTCCTCTATTCCTCCCGTGCTCCCTCTCCCTACCCCACTATAAATCAGCCTCCTTATATCAGAGAAAACATTCAGCATTTGCTTATTTGTGATGGACTAACTTCACTTAGCATTATCTTCTCTAACTCCATCCATTTACCTACAAATTCCATGATTTTATTCTCTTTTATTGCTGAGTAATATTTTAAAAATTAATTTATTTTTTACTTATATATGACAACGGGATACATAACAATTCTTCTTACACATATAGTGTTATCTCCATTCTTTGGAGACTCAAAAGATGAGTAGGCATTTCTTGTGAAGTAAACGTAATTTGTCAATTTTACAGAGACAAAAACGTTATCAGTTGATTATTTTCCATGATATTTATTTATACTGTAAGTCAGATGATTCATTATTGTGTTTTCTTAAGACTGTAAAAGAAACCTGAGGTAGCTTCATGCTCCTAATGATTCTAAAGCAATAGAGAAGTAGATGTAGATTTTTCCAAACCACTGCATTAGAAAGTTCAAAATAGACCATTTATAGGTCTCGTTTACACAGCTGGAAGGTTAACGTATTGATTAGAGGGAACATAACAGCCATCTGGTTCTGTCTTTCCTCACAAGGCCCTTTCAGCTACAAATTCCAGTACCACAGTGTTTGGGGATAATTGTTTTAGAAAATGCATCTTTTGCCATTCATAAAAATATCTTAAGTATGGGGTCTGAGATTATCAAACAAGGTATCAGTGTACAGTGGAATGACCTCAACACTCCTATTTACATAGATTCATCTTGTTCCTTGGGGTGCTGGTTGGAAATGACCAGCTTAGGAATGAAGCTACCATATTGATCTCTATTGTTTACTTCAAGTTTTTCTCAGATCAAACATCTTAATCCTAAAATTTACTGTTAAGTAGGTTGAGACATTTTATTACAATTGAGTTTCATCAAGAACATGTGCTTTCCTTTTACCTATTTTTTATTATATAAGAAATGCATGCTCGTGGCAAATAAATCAAACCATTACTGAAGGATTAAAATGTAAAAGTGAAAAAGTAATTGAAGTAACAAAAGTAGTAATAATTATTGGAAGTTTGAAATTCTTAGATCTCCCTATACACCGATGTATTTACCAAAATTTATAAATGCTTCTACATATGTAAAAATATTATATTGATTCCTTGTACATTCAGAATGATTATACCACATACATAGTTCTAGGTAGTGTTTTTTATGTAGCAATATGTTAATAAAAAAGTCTTTAAAAATTGAAAGGAATGTGTGTTTGTAGGATATTATAATTTCAGTCATTTTTTAAAAACAGTTTTGATGCATAGTCTAATTATCTGTTAAGTCCATGAGCAAAGCTGAGCATCTGAGAATCCCTGAAACACTGTAAGAGCTCATCTTGAGTAGTGAGACAAGAAGAATCTTCATCTGTAACTTCAAGTTTCTGAATTGTCAGAAGAATTTGAAATATTTCAAGATGGGATATAAAAATGGGGAATGTGTTTGAGTAGAAAGATCAAGACACAAGTTTTGACCACAAATGATTAAAGTTCTTTTATCTCACCTTTTCACTTCTCATGAATGCTATTTGTGGATGCTACAGGTATGAGTGGGACTGTCCAAGGCTCATGTCAACTTGCTTGTAAGAGACTAAAAAAACTGGAGAACAAGGAGAGAGAAGTGTTTATGTCCCTGAGTAAGGAAAAATAGTAATTTGGAGAGAGTGATAAAGGGTCACGGATTTTACAGAAAAGTTAAGAAAGGGCTGGGAATGTGGCTCAGTGGTAGAGTGCTTGCCTGGCAGGCAAGAGGCCCTGGGTTCAATTCCCAGCAATACACACACACACACACACACACACACACACACACACACACACACACAATACATATATAAGAGGATGGTAAATAGAATGAAAAATTCCTATATGCTTCTTGTTAATGAGTATTAATACCTTGTATTTAACCATAGCATTCTTGACTCTGGGCTTGCTATCTTTTGTCAATTTTGGAAAATTCTTAGCTTATATCTTTTTAGTCCTGTTTCTGCCCTATTTTCTCTTTCCTCTTCCCTAAGAGTATATATATATATGTATAATGTTGGGATTTTCTTTACATCTCACAAGGATATAAGGAATCCAAAAATCTGGCTGCCTCGTTGCTGTTCAGGGGAGGAGGAATGAGGTAAGACCCACCAGGCCTAGACTGTGTTCAGACCCGTCTTGGCAAAGAATTCCACATGCTTCCTTGAAACCAGAAAAATGGGGGGAAAGTGTGGAGGTTACCTTGAACTATATTCCATTAATATGACTGGAGTGACTGTAGAACCTCTAGGAAAGAAGTTCCTTGGTATCCAGGACTATCAAAGCGGCAGAGTTCACAAGCCAGAAAGGTACATTTGTCTGCATCAAGGAAATTGGAGAAAAGAGCTACAGCAAAGCAGGAAGGAAGACAAATAACAGCGATCCAATAAAGAAGCCCTAAAGGTTGCTCCGTGAAACTGCTTTGAACACTTATCAAGGGCCGAGTGGGCTCATTTTATTTCATAGCCACATGTATAATTAAGAACTTTTGCTTTTTTTCTGTCTGGTCTCCTCTAAATGCAGTAGCAAATAGAGAAAAAGAACAAAAAGCAAACGAGAAAAAGAAAAAACCCCAATTAAATCATACCTATTGTCCCCAGGAGGCCTGGGGGGAAGATGCAAAGACACCATTAACTTAAATTAATTTAAAATACTGGCGAGGATGTGGGGGAAAAGGTACACTTATACACTGCTGGTGGGGCTGCAAATTGGTGCAGTCAATATGGAAAGCAGAATGGAGATTTCTTGGAAAATTGGGAATGGAACACCATTTGACCCAGCTATTCCTCTCCTTGGTCTATACTCAAAGGACTTAAAATTAGCATACTACAGGGACACAGTCACATCAATGTTTATAGCAGTACAATTCACAATAGCTAAACTGTGGAACCAACCTAGATGCTCTTTAATTGATGAGTGGATTAAAAAATGTGGCATATATACACAATGGAATATTACTCAACAATAAAAGAGAATAAAATCATGGCATTTGCAGGTAAGTGGATGGAGTTAGAGAAGATAATGCCAAGTGAAGTTAGCCAATCCCAAATAACCAAATGCCAAATGTTTTCTCTGATATAAGAAGGCTGATTCATAGTAGAGTAGGGAGGGGGAGCGTAGGAGGAATAGATGAACTCTAGATAGGGCAGAGGGGTGGGAGAGGAAGGGAGAGGACATGGGGTTAGAAATGATGGTGGAATGTGATGATCATCATTATCCAAAGTACATGTATAAAGACACGAATTGGTGTGAATATACTCTGTATACAACCACAGATATGAAAATTTGTGCTCTATATATGTAATAAGAATTATAATGCATTTTCTGTCATATATAAATTAAAAAATTAAAAAAGTAGAATATTTTGATTATTGTACTAAACTGGACATACAAATTATTGAATTGAATAATTATGAATAGAGGTAAATGTATCATTTTTCATTACTGAAGAATAATAAGAAAAGTCACAGACCCTGCCTTGAATTTTATCCAAGTAGCAGGAAAACTCTGCATGTACAAAATTAATTTTAAGGTGCTGTGGTAGAAGAAGATAAAGTTGCATATGTGTTCATTCCTGATGATGCCTATTCAACTAAATCATCACACACAACTGGAATCAATAAAAGAATACGGGGCTGGGTTTGTAGCTCAGTGGTAGAGCGATTCCTAGCATGTGTGAGGCACTGGGTTTGATCCTCATAAAAATCAATAAAGGAAATAAAAGAATTGTGTCCATCTACAACTAAAAACAAGAAAAAAAAGAAACAACAGAATATGGACATCCCCTCCTGTCATATTAACTAAATATATCTGAGTTCATCTGAAAAGAAAACAGTGATATAAATTCTTCCATATTTCAGGCATGAATCTAATCTATTTTGCTTATAAAGTTTTCAACAAAAATTGTAAGTTAAAATGCTTACTAGTTTCTTTTAAAATGGCAAAATAACTTTCATTAATAATAATATATTTTAACCAATAATTCTATTATTTCATTTTACAGGTAGGGCTGCTGTAAATCGTTTGTCAAAATAATTTTTATAATAGAATTTGTAAAAATTGAAATGGCCATTGACCTAACAGTCCATGTGTGGAGATCTGTCACAGCTTTGTGCTTTTGTTGACTGTGTCATTTTTCTTTCGGATTTCCATTTCTTACTGGACATCTGTAAAATGTTCTAGTTAGAAGTGATGTTTGTATGGAACTTTATGAGAACATTAAAAATGTAAATGCTTCTGAAAGTCCCATCCATTATTTTCAGCTTTCCATCTGTCGTGAATCTGGCTGTGGTTGACATAGCAGCTGGTTGTAGGTGGCCTGCCAGATCACAGCATCCCTGTGTGTCACCAACAAGAGCAAAGCATTCTTTAACAATAGTAATGGCACGATTAAAAATGAGGGGTTACAGGAAGTAAAATCTTTTAGTATAGTTTTTTTTTCTTTTGCTCACATAATTCTGGATTAATTCCTAGTTTTTCTTCTTCAGTTCAAATTTACTAGTGATAAATTAAAGTTTGAAGGGTTTTTTACAACTTAATATTATTTGCTTTAAGAGAAAACTCTAATAATCAAACCATATTCTATCTTTCTCTCTACATATATGTTTAATATAAAATGTCTTTTACACATTTTTTTTCTTCACTTCTACTTTATGTCATCTCTGTGTCACCAATTCTTGACCTTTATAAATAAAATGTGGAGAACAGGTTCTTGTCAGTTTTACATTCTCTAAAAATAAGGACAAATGTCTTCTTTTAGATTTTTTTGTTTTTTGAGGTTTTGACATTTCTATCCAGTTTTGTGACCATTTTTCGACAATTACTTGGACACAGTCCCTTTTGTTTTGCTTTGGTCTTAGTCAATTAATAAAACTCCTCCAGCAATTATTTAAAGAATGACTTGATTATACACTATCTTAAGCCTTGCATTTTAGAACATTTTATATGGCTATCATATGTTGAAGAATAATTGTCTTCATGTATGATAACGTGCAAAGATAAACATTTGGAAATACTCTCTCAAATTTCTCCACTCATAAAGATCATTGTTCATATTTACATCACATGTATGTATGTATATATATATATATATATATATATTAGTATACTAACATATCTCTATCCATATCTGTATGTGAACATCTTTTTCTGAACAAATAAATGTGCACAGGGATAGATGTTTGTATAGAAACACTTTTATATTAAAAATACAACAACAACAACTACTACTACAACTACTATTATATTAAAACACTATTTTTTCAATTCAATTGTTTATTATTGAGATATGGGAATTTTTTGTATATTCTGAAATTTTTTCTTTTTAAAATTTGTTCTAATTAGTTATACATGACAGTAGAATTTATTTTGACACATCATACATAAATGGAGTATAACTTCTCAACTTTTGTACATGATGTAGAATCTCACTGATTGTGTAATTATATATGTACGTAGAATAATAATGTTTAATAATAATACTCATGCTATTATTATTCTACTCCCAGATACCCTTCCCCTCCCTTCACTCCTTCCTGCCTAATCCAATGTATCTCTGTTCTTCCCTAGCCTCCCACTCACTTATTGTGAATTAGCATCCACATATCAGAGAAAAACATTTGGTCTTTGGTTTTGGGGATTGGCTTCTTTCACTTAGCATGATATTCTCCAGCTCCCTCTATTTACTGGCAAATGCCATAATTTCATTCTTCTTTATAGATGAGCAATATTCCATTGTGTATATGTACCACATTTTCTTTAGCCATTCATCTGTTGAAGGGCATCTAGATTGGTTCCATCGTTTAGCTACTGTGAGTTGAGCTCCTATAAACATTGATGTGGCTGTGTCACTGTAGTATCCTGATTTTAAGTCCTTTGGCTATAAACCAAGGAGTGGATTAGGTGGGTCAAATGGTGGATCCATTCCATGTTGTCTGAGGAATCTCCATACTGCTTTCCATAATAAGAAATTATATTTGTTTTTACTAAAATTGAAGGCAAATATTACTGAGTTTAATAACTATTCCATATTCATGAGAAATATTATTTCCACCTTTTCCTTCCTTTTTGCTGAGGATTGAATCCAGGGCCTCATACGTGCCAGGCAAGTACTTTACCATGGAGTGACAGCTCCAATCCAAGGTATATTATTTCTTGAAAGATCCTTCTAAGGATAGGAAAAGTTATTATGAGAAACTTAAGAGGTAGAGACAGTATGTTTTTCACATTTGCCTTACTTTGATGGTTCTCGTTTTTCTCTACCCCATTTAATAGAGAATTAACATTTATATACTTTCCTGTTTTATTTTTTCCTCACTTCCCTTTTCAGTAGTTCTACCAATATTTTACACTGTACAAATATATGAACCTTACTATTTTTAATCACAATTGGTGTGTATTATTTACAAGGATTCATTATCCCCTGTCAGTCCTTTGGACACAGCTTCTGTAATACCAAAGTCTTTGTTTATGTGGCTTTTTTTCTTTTTTGTTTTGGATAGTTCTTTAATTGACACCAATGTGTGAGTTGAATTTGGATTTCATCCTTAATAGATAAATTGAGCATATTTTTTTGTTTGCCTTTTCTTTTTTATTTAGTGCATACTAATTATACAAAATAGTGGGTATCATTGGGGGCTGGAGTAGTGGCTCAGTGGTAGAGCACTTGCCTAGCATGTGTGAGGCACTGGGTTCGATTCTCAGCACACATATAAATAAATTGAACATATTCTAAATAATTTAAAATATTGACTAATAGTTC